CTGCAATTATTAGAGAAAGAAACCCAAATAAATGAAATCTTGTTAGACGACATAACAGCAGAAAATTTAAGAAACCTTCATCAATAAATGTAGTCAGCACATTCTTATACTTGGCACCGATGTCACAGCAGGAGCAAATTAAGGGTAAAGCAGAAAATGGACCACTGGATTAGGCCGCTCTAGTGGAGGGAAAGAAGTAGATGGCCGCCTAGGCCCCAAATAAGAAGAGTTGGCCACGTTAAGCAGGTTGCTCCTACGAAAGGCTTTGCTTAAGTGGGCTTCTGATTGTTCGGGCAAATGTAGAAAACGGGGTAGACCCATAATATTCAGAACCTGTTGATTCTAATTAGAAACTTTTAATCTCTCTCCGCCGCCCCCCCCCGCCGCCGACGCAAGGGCACCAAGTAAGTAACATAGTGTAGCTTTGTACTACTTAATCTATGTATAAAGGAAACAATACTTACTCACAATTAAAAGAACTAAGAAAAATATTAAGAATATAACGCCTCCAAATCTGGACCATTGCAAAGTTAGGAAAACCAATATATGGCATTTTCACTATACTGAATTTGATCGGTAGTAATGTGAGTCCGTAAAGATATTTAACCAATACTAAGATACACAAATTTTGAGCATGGTTTAATAAGGTTCCCTCAAAACAAAGCTGGAATGATGCCACCACCAGTTGGGTTCATCCTTCTTTGAATTTATAGAATGTGAAAAAGAATTCAAGGAAAAAAATTGAACAAAAGTTGTTAACCAAAACATTACGCATCCTCGACACTTTAGCTGATGGTGAAGATATCTACAAAACAAACGTAATTGATGCATCCAATGACTGACATACAAATTTGGCATTTTCGAAAAACGGCTAAGTAATAGGTTGCAGCTATTCTGAGTTCCTAAATGCGTTAGTTTATCAATAATATAAATAATTGCATGAACAAGCAATTAATCAACAAAAGTAGTTCTGAAAATGTAAATTCCAGATAAAAGAATATGACGCTCAACCTACGAAGAAGGGAGAGATAAGGAGACAAGCTAAAGGTAAAAGCAACAAACAGCATCATTCAGAGAACGGGCAAAAGGAATAACATGTCATACGGGTAACTGATTTAAGATCTTGACACAGGCGGAATATTGAAATTGAAACTTACCAAAAGCATTAGTTTGCTTATCTTCAAAGTAAAACTGCAACTTTCTAGCAACCCCCTTATACATTCTACAAG